GATACATGTATTAAATTTTGTATATATTATATGATATATTGATAAGTACATCACTTCAATTTGTTAATACTATAAAAAAAGAAACCATTGATTTGAAAAGATAAGAAACAAACAATACTCCAGTTATGTATGTATGACAACAATGATTATTAAAAATTACATTTATTTTTTTGCCAAAAATCATTATTTTTTATTTATGTACATATTTGACACCCAAATTTCAAAATGAAAAAAAAAAATATTTAAACTACAGTAGCCAGATAAATAAAAATAAATAATAAATAATTTAATACATAACAAGCAATAGGATTTAACTTATTCAGGTAGGTCATTTGGTATAGCTAAATCAATTTGTTTAGAATCTATAAAATATTTATCACAAGAGTGGATATTAATAAATATTGTGTTAATTTTAATAAAAATGAAAATAATCAATAATTGAATATTAATAATTACCATTATTATTACCAATAATTGTTACTTTATTGGAATTCACAGGTTGGGGAAGGTTTGTAAAATTTAATAATCTGCTAGTATAAATTGCATTTGGATGAATTACTGCAGTAATTGTTGAAGGATTAAACTTTATTTCATCCATTTTCTCAAACCCTTTTCTTATTGATTTTAATTCATCTTGCATTTCTTTTGAATATTTTTCAAGATCATTATTCATTACATAGTCATTAAGTGAATCATCCCAAATTTTGATAATCTTTTTAATTTCTTCAGCAGTTGGACGTTTATCTGGGTTTGCATCCATGCATTTGAATGCTAGTTCAATATAAAATTTTGGTGTATTGTTTGAGAATCCAGGTCTTGCACCCTTACATATTTTCACTGCAAGATCTCTATCATGTGCCAAATTATTAAATGGTTGTTGACCAGTTGATACTACAGACATCAGAACTCCAAAACTGTATACATCTGATGCCATTGTATAGGGTTTCCTTTTTAATACTTCTGGTGCAATATATGGTAGTACTCCACATATATCATTTTTGTTAGATGATGATGTTTGACTAGCTGGGCATGATAGTCCTAAGTCTGTAATATATGTAAACATATTTTTGTGAAGAAGATTGCCGCTGTGAAGATTATAATGAATAAATTTTTTTTCATGAATATCTTTTAAACCATTAATAATATAATAAAGAATTTTAATTTTGTTTTCCCATTTTAAATTTTTAAAATATTTAGTTAAATAATTTTGAAGATTTCCATCTTCCATATAACTCATTACAAATATGTATTCTTTTGTAATTGGATCTTGTGTTAATCCGTAAATATAAATTATATAATTTTTACTATGAAACTCTGTATAATTTTTGAACTAAATAATAAATAAAATATTTAATTATAACAACAATAATAATAATATTTAAAAATCAGAAAATAAATAAAAAATAAAATAAAGAAAATAATTTGAAAATAAAAGAATTTACCTCATTAAGAAATTCATCAGAAATATTCTGTGAATTATGTAGTTTTTTTAATGCCACAGTCATATCTTTGATGATTTTATTTTTACTATTTGCATATTTCTCACCATTTATCCAAGTAGCTTTGTATATAGTTGCAAACCCACCTTCACCTATCTCTTCAATATTTGTTAAATGATTATAAGGAATCCATTGAAGATGATTATTATAATGATAATATGTTGCTTTAAGTTGTGTACTTTTAATCAACTCATCTAATGTTTCATTGCCACTAGTCCAATCTTTAGTTAACAACTTTGGATCACATGATTGACACCAGAAATTATTAGTATTAAACTCATTGCAGGTTGGACATTTCTTATATTTTTCTTTTCTAATATATGGATCTTTATAATTTTGAATACTTCTATCCATCACAAATATATATTCTTTTGTAGCTGGGTCTTGTGATAATCCATAAATTTTATTTATAAATGATTTACCATGAAATGTAACATAATTTCTAAACTATAAAAAAAATATATATATTGAATTTCAGAATAATATTTAAAAAAATCAGAAAATAAATAGAAAAATAAAATAATTTACCTCTTTAAGAAATTTATCAGAAATATTCTGTGAATTATGTATTTTTTTTAATGCCACAATCATATCTTTACTAATTCTTTCATTATTTCCACCTACATATTTCTCGCCATTTATCCAAGTAGCTTCATATATAGTTGCAAACTTACCTTCACCAATCTTTTCAATATTTGTTAAATCATTATAAGAAATCCATTGAAGATAATTATTATAGTGACACTTGGTTGCTTTAAGTTGTATACTTTTAATCAAATCATCTAATGTTTCATCGCCACTAGTCCATCCTTCAGTTAATAGCTTTGGATTACATGATTGACACCATGCCCAATTAGTATTATATCTATTGCAAGTTGGACATTCCCCATATTTTTTATCTCTTTTATCAGAATATTCATCCTTTTTATCAGTAGAAGTATCGTCATGATGCTTATTTTTATCCAAAGTGTTTCCCATCGTGGTTTTTTATTATATTTGTATAATTTGTCAAAAAAAAAGAATTTTTTTTTCAGCCACAAATATGTATCGCACAAAATAAATATTCCGTTAAAAAAATTTTAATTACAACAAATTCGGCATGACACCCTAAAGTCGTTAAAGCCATAAACCGTAATAAATATTGCGAGCGTTATTGGAGTCACCAAATTTGGCAAACTAAATTAAAAACACTATATACAACTATACTGCTTGATTAGGGTTTC